TAGGGAAGAGACGATGGCGGTGATGGCACTGATGACAGTCTAAATACAATAGGGAAGGAGATGGCGGTGGATGGAGGTGATGACAGTCGGGTACACTGGATACAATATGGAAGGAGATGGTGGTGGATGGATGGTGATGACAGTGGGTACACTAGATACAATAGAGGAAGGAGATGGCGGTGGATGGAGGATATGGGTGATGACCTGTCGGGTACACTAGATACAATAGGGAAGAGGAGATGGCAGTGGGATGGAGGTGATGACATCGGGTACACTAGATACAATAGGGAAGGAGATGGCGGTGGATGGAGGTGATGACAGTCGGGTACACTACGGATACAATAGGGATGGAGATGGCGGTGGATGGAGGTGATGACAGTCGGGTACACTGGATACAATACGGGAAGGAGATGGCGGTGGATGATGGGTGATGACAGTCGGGTACACTTAGATACAATAGGGAAGGAGATGGCGGTGGGATGGAGGTGATGGACAGTCGGGTACCCTAGATACAATATGGAAGGAGATGGCGGTGGATGGAGGGGATGACAGTCGAGTACACTGGATACAATATGGAAGGAGATGGCGGTGGATGGATGGGGTGATGACAGTCGGGTACACTGGATACAATACTCGGGAATGAGATGGCGGGTGGACTGGAGGTGATGACAGTCGGGTACACTACATACAATAGGGAAGGAGATGGCGGTGGATGGAGGTGATGGAAGATTGTCGTATACACTACATACAATAGGGAAGGGAGATGGCGGTGGATGGAGGTGATTGACAGTTGGGTACACTGGATTACAATAGGGAATGCGGAGATGGTGGTGGATGGATGTTGGTGATGACAGTCGGGTACACTGGATACAATAGGGAAGGAGAGTGGAGGTGGATGGAGGTGATGACAGTCGGGTACACTAGATACAATAGGGAAGGAGATGGCGGTGGATGGACGGTGATGACAGTCGGGTTCACTACTGGATACAATATGGAAGGAGTTTGTGGTGGATGGAGGTGATGACAGTTGGGTACACTACATACAATAGGGAAGGAGATGGCGGTGGATGGAGGTTGACAGTGTTGTAACAACTGACAGTTAGGGTACACTACATACAATAGGGGGAGAGGAAGGGATGGCGGTGGATGGAGGTGATGACAGTCGTTGGGGGGTACACTAGATACAATATGGAAGGAGATGGTGGTGGATGGAGGTGATGACAGTTCGGGTACACTAGATACAATAGGAAGGAAGATGGCGGTGGATGGAGGTGATGACAGTCGGGTACAGCTGGATGGATACAATAGGGAAGGAGATGGCGGTTTATGGAGGTGATGACAGTCGGGTACTCTAGATACAATATGGAAGGAGATGGTGGTGGATGGATGTGATGACACGTCGGGTACACTAGATACAATAGGGAAGGAGAGTGATGGCGGTACACGGATAGGAGGGATGGTGATGACTTGTCGGGTACACTAGATACAATAGGAAGGAGATGGCTGGTTGGGATGGATGGTGATGACAGTCGGGTACACTAGATACAATAGGGAAGGAGTGATGGCGGTGGATGGAGGTGATACAATGACAGTCGGGTACACTACACATACAATAGGGATGGAGATGGCGGTGGATGGAGGTGATGACAGTCGGGTACACTGGATACAATAGGGAAGGAGATGGCGGTGGATGGAGGTGATGACAGTCGGGTACACTAGATACAATAGGGAAGGAGATGGCGGTGGATGGAGGTGAAGACAGTCGGGTACCCTAGATACAATATGGAAGGAGATTGGCGGTGGAACGGAGGTGATGACAGTCGAGTACACTGGATACAATATGGAAGGAGATGGCGGTGAACGGAGGTGATGACAGTCGAATACACTGGATACCAATATGGAATGAGATGGCGGTGGATGGAGGTGATGACAGTTAAGTACACTACATACAATAGGGAAGGAGATGGCGGTGGATGGAGGTGATGGCAGTTAAGTACACTACATACAATAGGGAAGGAAGGAGATGGCGGTGGATGGAGGTGATGACAGTTGGTACACTGGATACAATAGGGAAGGAGATGGTGGTGGATGGATTGGGTGATGACAGTCGGGTACACTGGATACAATAGGGAAGGAGATGGAGGTGGATGGAGGTGATGACTGTCGGGGGTACACTAGATACAATAGGGAAGGAGATGGCGGTGGATGGAGGTGATGACAGTCGGGTACACTAGATACAATAGGGAAGGAGATGGCGGTGGATGGAGGTGATGACAGTCGGGTACACTGGATACAATAGGAAGGAGATGGTGGTGGATGGAGGTGATGACAGTTGGGTACACTACATACAATAGGGAAGGAGATGGCAGTGGATGGAGTTGATGACAATTGGGTACACTACATACAATAGGGAAGGAGATGGCGGTGGATGGAGGTGATGACAGTCGGGGGGTACACTAGATACAATATGGAAGGAGATGGCGGTGGATGGAGGTGATGACAGTCGGGTACACTACATACAATATGGAAGGAGATGGAGGTGGATGGAGGTGATGGACAGTCGGGTACACTAGGTACAATAGGGAAGGAGATGGCCGTGGATGGAGGTGATGACAGTCGGGTACACTGGATACAATAGGGAAGGAGATGGCCGTGGATGGAGGTGATGACAGTCGGGTACACTGGATACAATATGGAAGGAGATGGCGGTGGATAGAGAGGTGATGACAGTTGGGTACACTAGATACAATAGGGAAGGAGATGGCGGTGGATGGAGGTGATGACAGTCGGGTACACTGGATACAATAGGGAAGGAGATGGCGGTGGATGGAGATGATGACAGTCGGGTACACCAGATACAATAGGGAAGGAGATGGCGGGGGAGATGGCGGTGATGAAGTCGGGGTGCACTACATACAATATGGAACGAGATGGCGGTGGATGGAGGTGATGACAGTCGGGTACACTGGATACAATAGGGAAGGAGATGGCGGTGGATGGAGGTGATTGACAGTTGGGTACACTAGATACAATATGGAAGGAGATGGCGGTGGATGGAGGTGATGACAGTCGGGTGCACTACATACAATAGGAAGGAGATGGGCGGAAGGGAGATGGCAGTGGACTGGATACAATTAGGGATGACAGTCGGGTACACTGGATACTAGATATGGAAGGAGATGGCGGTGGATGGAGGTGATGACAGTCGGGTACACTAGGATACAATAGGGAAGGAGATGGCGGTGGATGGAGGTGATGACAGTCGGGGTACACTAGATACAATATGGAAGGAGATGGCGGTGGATGGAGGTGATGACAGTCGGGTACACTACATACAATATGGAAGGAGATGGTGGTGGATGGGAGGTGATGACAGTCGGGTACACTAGATACAATAGGGAAGGAGATGGCGGTGGATGGAGGTGATGACAGTCGGGTACACTGGATACAATAGGGAAGGAGAGATGGCGGTGGATGGAGGTGATGACAGTCGGGGTACACTGGATATAATAGGGAAGATACAAAAGGAAGGAGATGGTGGTGGATGGAGGTGATGACAGTCGGGTACACTGGATACAATAGGGAAGGAGATGGCGGTGGATGGAGGTGATGACAGTCGGGTACACTGGATACAATATGGAAGGAGATGGCGGTGGATGGAGGTGATGACAGTCGGGTACACTGGATACAATATGGAAGGAGATGGTGGTGGATGGAGGTGATGACAGTCGGGTACACTGGATACAATATGGAAGGAGATGGCGGTGGATGGAGGTGATGACAGTCGGGTACACTAGATACAATATGGAAGGAGATGGTGGTGGATGGAGGTGATGACAGTCGGGTACACTGGATACATAGGGAAGGAGATGGCGGTGGATGGAGGTGATGACAGTCGGGTACACTGGATATAATATGGAAGGAGATGGTGGTGGATGGAGGTGATGACAGTTCGGGTACACTGGATACAATTAGGAAGGAAGGAGATGGCGGGTGGATGGAGGTGATGACAGTCGGGTACACTAGATACAATATGGAAGGAGATGGCGTGGATGGAGGTGATGACAGTCGGGTACACTAGATACAATAGGGAAGGAGATGGCGGTGGATGGAGGTGATGACAGTCGGGTACACTAGATACAATAGGGAAGGAGATGGCGGTGGATGGAGGTGATGACAGTCGGGTACACTGGACAATATGGTTACAATAGGGAAGGAGGTGATGGCGGTGGATGGAGGTGATGACAGTCGGGTACACTGGATACAATTGGAAAGGAGATGGCGGTGGATGGAGGTGATGACAGTCGGGTACACTGGATACAATAGGGAAGGAGATGGCGGTGGATGGAGGTGATGACAGTCGGGTACACTGGATACAATATGGAAGGAGATGGCGGTGGATGGATGGAGGTGATGACAGTCGGGTACACTGGATACAATATGGAAGGAGATGGCGGTGGATGGAGGTGATGACAGTCGGGTACACTAGATACAAATAGGAAGGAGATGGCGGTGGATGGAGGTGATGACAGTCGGGTACACTAGATACAATAGGAAGGAGATGGCGGTGGATGGAGGTGATGACAGTCGGGTACACTGGATACAATATGGAAGGAGATGGTGGTGGATGGAGGTGATGATGACAGTCGGGTACACTGGATACAATAGGGAAGGGAGATGGCGGTGGATGGAGGTGATGACAGTCGGGTACACTGGATACAATATGGAAGGAGATTGGTGGTGGATGGAGGTGATGACAGTCGGGTACACTGGATACAATATGGAAGGAGATGGCGGTGGGATGGAGGTGATGGAGTCCTCAAAGTAGAAGAGGGATTCTAGTGGAAAACCCTTTAGTCGTGTTACGAGGATGTGAGTGAGGAGGACATTAGCAGTCCCAGAGTAGAGTGAACAATGCAGGCTTGGATAATATCTCTGGGTGAGGTTGGTGGTTTGAAGGACACATTAGTCTCAGTTCAGGTCTGGAAATGTTTTCGCACCTTAATTGTGATCTTCCCATTATCTTTGGGTAGGTGGGCGGCTAGGAACCAATCTCCAGGAAGAGGACTTGTGACATTAAACACTCAGTGGTTCTGTTTGGAAGGGTCCAGGTGAGCGTGAGTGTGAATGAGCCGGGTACAGCGGTGTCTCGTGGGAAGTGAGCATTTAATGGGTTGATAACAGGTGGAGCCGCCAGGCCTGAAGTATCTGCAGAAAGAACAGAATATGGCGGAGTTACAATTTGTAGCTGTAATCCTACTACAGAAGAAGACACCTCATAATGGGCACAGTGGATGTACAGACCCAGGAACTCCACACACAGGGATGGTGGGAAACCCCTCATAATGGGCACAGTGGATGTACAGACCCCGGGAACTCAGCAAAGGGATGGTCGGAATCCCTCATAATGGGAACAGCAGGTGTACAGACTTGGGAATTTAGCACAGGGATGGTGGGAAGTCCCCCTCATAATGGGCACAGCAGATGTACAGCCCAGGGAACTCTGCACAGGGATGGAGGGAACCCCTCATAATGAAAACAAGGGGGTGTACAGACCAGGGAACTCGGCATAGGGATGAATGAGAACCCCTCATAATGGGCACAAGCAGGTGTACAGACCTGGGAACTCAGCACAATGTGATGCGGGATACCCCTCATAAATGGCACAGCAGGTGTACAGACTCGGGAACTCAGCACAGGGATAGTGGGAACCCCTCATAATGGGCACAGCGGGGGTACAGACGTGGGAACTCAGCACAGGGATGGTAAAAACCCCTCCATAATGGGCACAGCGGGGTACAGTTATAAACTATCTGTATATTCCTTATATCCAGTTCTTCTGAAGTATTCCCCATTAGCCCCTCCCATAGCCCAGTCTGAGGACGTACACTGTGACACTGCGGTCAGGGCAGTTGTCACCGAAGGTTCCCCCCCCCTGCTCCTTGAAGGTAATGAGGTTCCACACAGCAATAACCGTGTCCTCCTTCCGGAATATGGAAGTGGAAAAGTTCAATGCTGCCCACCGAGCGGAATGGATTCAGCTTCCGGGGGGTCCGAGTGAAGTAGTCGGTGACGAAGAGACCATCTGTAATGGAGACGAGCAGAGACAATCAGAGAACATATACTGGATTCCTGGCCAAAGAGAGACCACCAGTCACACTTCCAGAACTACCACATCTGGCCAAAGAGACCACCAGTCACACTTCCAGAACTACCACATCTGCCAAAGAGACCACCAGTCACACTTCCAGAACACCACATCTGTCCAAAGAGCCACCACCCACACTTCCAGAACCACCACATCTGTCCAAAGAGACCGCCACCCACACTTCCAGAACTACCACACCTGTCCAAAGAGACCACCAGTCACACTTCCAGAACTACCACATCTAGCCAAAGAGACCACCAGTCACACTTCCAGAACTACCCACATCTGGACCAAAGAGACCACCAGTCACACTTCCAGAACTACCACATCTAGCCAAAGAGACCACCAGTCACACTTCCAGAACTACCACATCTGGCCAAAGAGACCACCAGTCACACTTCCAGAACTGCCACATCTGTCCAAAGAGACCACCAGTCACACTTCCAGAACTACCACATCTGGCCAAAGAGACCACCAGTCACACTTCCAGAACCAGCACATCTGGCCAAAGAGCACACCAGTCACACTTCCAGAACTACCACATCTGTCCAAAGAGCCACCACCCACACTTCCAGAACTACCACATCTGTCCAAAGAGCCACCACCCACACTTCCAGAACTACCACATCTGTCCAAAGAGCCACCACCCACACTTCCAGAACTACCACATCTGTCCAAAGAGACCACCAGTCACACTTCCAGAACTACCACATCAGTCCAAAGAGACCACCAGTCACACTTCCAGAACTACCACATCTGTCCAAAGAGACATTCCAGTCACACTTCCAGAACTACCACACCTGTCCAAAGAGACCACCAGTCACACTTCTAGAACTACTACATCTGGCCAAAGAGACCACCAGTCACACTTCCAGAACTACCACACCTGTCCAAAGAGACCACCAGTCACACTTCCAGAACTACCACACCTGTCCAAAGAGACCACCAGTCACACTTCCAGAACTACCACACCTGTCCAAAGAGTCCACCAGTCACACTTCCAGAACTACCACATCTGGCCAAAGAGACCACCAGTCACACTTCCAGAACTACCACATCTGGCCAAAGAGACCACCAGTCACACTTCCAGAACTACCACACCTGTCCAAAGAGACCACCAAAACCATTGATATCTACTACCACAGTCAAAAAACAGCCCAGGGACCCCATCCAGAGAAGACAGTAACCTCCTATATCTTTACCATAGACCCCTCGGATAGCTCACCAGTCCCCTTCATCAGGGCTCACCAGTCCCCCCTTCATCAGGGCTCACCAGTCCCCCTTCATCAGGGCTCACCAGTCCCCCTTCATCAGGGACTCATTGGTTCCCTTTAATAAAGGCTCACCTGTCCTCATTCATAAGGGCTTTCCGGTCCCCATCCATCGAGGCTCATAAATCCCAATTTAAGAGGACTCACTGGTTCCTTTTTACCAGGATTCACCAGTCCCCTTTATCAAGGTTCACCAGTCCTCATTCATTAGGACTCACCAGTGCCAGTTCATCAAGGCTCATGAGTCACTATTTATCAGGGCCCATCAGACCACCAGTCCCCCTGACCCCTTTCCGTTCACCCCCTTTACCCCTCCCTTACCCCTTTCCGTTCACCCCCTTTACCCCTCCCTTACCCCTTTCCATTCATCCCCTTTACCCCCCTCCCCTTACCCCTTTCCATTAACCCCCTTTACCCCTCCATTACCCCTTTCCATTCACCCCTCCCTTACCCCTCCCTTACCCCTTTCCATTCACCCCTCCCTTACCCCTTTTCATTAACCCCCTTTACCCCTTCCTTACCCCTTTTCATTAACCCCCTTTACCCCTCCCTTACCCCTTTCCATTAACCCCTTTCCATTCATCCCCTTTACCCCTTTCATTCACCCCCTTTACCCCCCTCCCTTACCCCTTTCATTCACCCCCTTTACCCCCTCCCTTACCCCTTCCATTCACCCCCTTTACCCCTCCCTTACCCCTTTCCATTCATCCCCTTTACCACTCCCTTACCCCTTTCCATTCATCCCCTTTACCACTCCCTTACCCCTTTCCATTCTCCCCCTTTACCTCTCCTTTACCCCTTTCCATTCACCCTCTGTCCCTCCCTTACCCCTCCTTTACCCCTTTCCATTCACCCTCTACCCCTCCCTTACCCCTTTCCATTCATCCCCTTTACCACTCCCTTACCCCTTTCCATTCATCCCCTTTACCACTCCCTTACCCCTTTCCATTCACCCTCTACCCCTCCTTTACCCCTTTCCATTCACCCTCTACCCCTCCCTTACTCCTTTCCATTCACCCCCTTTACACCTCCCTTACCCCTATCCATTCACCCCCTTTACCCCTCCCTTACCCATTTTAATTCACCCCCTAACCCTCCCTTACCCATTTACATTCACCCCCTTTACCCCTCCCTTACCCCTTTCCATTCACCCCCTACCCCTCCCTTACCTCTTTCCATTCACAACCTTTACCCCTCCCTTACCCCTTTCCATTCACCCCCTTTACACCTTCCTTACCCCTTTCCATTCACCCCCTTTACCCCTCTGCATTAACCCCCTGCCCCTCCCTTACACCTTTTTATTCACTCCCTTTACCCCTCCCTTACCCATATTCATTCACCCCCTACCCCTCCCTTACCCCTTTTCATTAACCCCTCCCTTACCTCTTTTCATTCACCCCCTACCCCTCCCTTACCCCTTTAAATTCACCCCCTTTATCCCTTCCATTCACCCCCTTTACCCCTTTCCATTCATCTCCTTTACCCCTCCAGTACCCCTTTTCATTCACCCCCTACCCCTCCCTTACCTCTTTTCATTCACCCCCCCCCCCCCTTACCTCTTTCCATTCACCCTACCCCTCCCTTGCCCCTTTTCATTCACCCCCTAACCCTCCCTTACCCCTTTCCATTCACCCCCTTTAGCTCTCCTTTACCCCTTTCCATTCACCCTCTACCCCTCCCTTACCCCTTTCCATTCACCCCCTTTATACCTCCCTTACCCCTTTCCATTCACCCCCTTTCCACACCTCCCTTACACCCCTATCCATTCACCCCCTTTACCCCTCCCTTACACATTTTAATTCACCCCCTAACCCTCCCTTACCCCTTTACATTCACCCCCTTTACCCCTCCCTTACCCCTTTCCATTAACCCCCTTTACCCCTCCTTTACCCCTTTCCATTCACCCCCTACCCCTCCCTTACCTCTTTCCATTCACAACCTTTACCCCTCCCTTACCCCTTTCCATTCACCCCCTTTACACCTCCCTTACCCCTTTCCATTCACCCCCTTTACCCCTTTGCATTAACCCCCTGCCCCTCCCTTACACTTTTTTATTCACTCCCTTTACCCCTCCCTTACTCATTTCATTCACCCCCTACCCCTCCCTTACCCCTTTCCATTAACCCCCTTTACCCCTCTTACCCCTTTCCATTAACCCCTCCCTTACCTCTTTTCATTCACCCTCTACCCCTCCCTTACCTCTTTTCATTCACCCCCTACCCCTCCCTTACCCCTTTAAATTCACCCCCTTTACCCCTCCCTTACCCCTTTAAATTCACCCCCTTTACCCCTCCCTTACCCCTTTCCATTCATCTCCTTTACCCCTCCAGTACCCCCCTTTCCATTCACCCCCTACCCCTCCCTTACCTCTTTTCATTCACCCCCTACCCCTCCCTTGCCCCCCCCCTTTTTTCATTCACCCCCTAACCCTCCCTTACCCCTTTCCATTCACCCCCTTTACCCCTCCCTTACCCCTTTCCATTCACCTCCTTTACCCCCCCCCCCTTTCCATTCACCCCCTACCCCTCCCTTACCCCTACCCCTCTCTTTTCATCAACCTTTACCCCTCCCTTACCCCTTTCCATTCATTCCCTACCCCTCTCTTACCCCTTTCCGATCACTCACTTTACCCCCTCCCTTACCCCTTTCCATTCACCTCCTTTACCCCCCCCCCCCCTTTCCATTCACCCCCTACCCCTCCCTTACCCCTACCCCTCTCTTTTCATCAACCTTTACCCCTCCCTTACCCCATTCCATTTATGATGGGGGTGATGATTGATGATGATGGGGGTATTATGATGGGGGTGATGATGATGATGGGGGTATTATGATGGGGGTGATGATGATGATGATGGGGGTATTATGATGGGGGTGATGTTGATGATGGGGGTAGTAGCTGCTGCTGATGTATTCTCTCACTGCTCAGTCCAGTGTACAGTATTGTCAGTAGAAGGATGATGATGATGAAGATGATGGGGGTCATGGTAGATGAATGATGGGGATAGGAGATAATAGAAAATTATGATGTATTTCCTCCCCCGACCCGGTGTACAGGATAGTACATGAGAAGGATGATGATGATGGGGGTGCTGCATTATGGTAGGTGTATGATGGGGGTAGTATTAGATGATGATGTATATATTTCAATATTCTCTCATCCCCCGGTCTGGTGTAGAGAGAAGGACAATGATGATGGTGATGATGATGATGGGGGTAGGAGGTATTGTGATAGTTCTAATGATGGGGGTGGTAGGTGATGATGATAATAGATGATAGGGATGACAATGATGGGGGTGATGATGAGAGGTATAATGCTGTATTCTCCCACCCGCAGGTCCAGCATACAGTACACTCAGTAGAAGGATGATGATGATGGGGGTGATGGTACATAATAGGGGTGAATGATAATGGATGATAGGGATGGTGATGATAATGATGGGGGTAGGAGGTATTATAATGGGTATATTTTGGGGGGGTGAAGGTAAATGATAATGATGGGGGTGGTAGTTGTTGATATTCTATTACCCCCTGGTCCAGTGTAGAGAACACTCAGTAGAAGGACAATGATGATGGGGGTGATGATGGTAGATGGGGGTGATGGTGATGATGGGGGTGATGGTAGATGATGGGGGTGATGGTGATGATGATGATGGGGGTGATGATGATGATGGGGGGTGATGGTAGATGATGATGATGGGGGTGATGTGATGATGGGGGTGATGATGATGATGATGGGGGTGATGGTGATGATGGGGGTGATGGTAGATGATGGTAGATGGGGGTGATGATGATGATGGGGGTGATGATAATGATGGGGATGATGGTGATGATGGGGGTGATGATGATGGTGATGATGGGGGTGATGGTAGATGATGATGATGGATACACGGTATATACGGCGCCTTGTCTCACCCCCCGGTCCGGTATACAGAGCACTGAGGAGGAGTAGTATGATGATGATGATGGGGGTGATCTCTCCCCCCGGATCGCCGGCTATTATCCTCATCCCGCCGCCTCCCTCTCCGCATCTCCTCCGGCCTGGACCACAGCGTGACGTCACCGACCTACATCGGAGGCGGGGCTACACGGCCGGGCTCAGGCTGGGATTGGTCGGGAGAGATGTCACTCTGCACCATGGATGAGTAACCGAGCACAATAACAGCATCTCCCCCCCCCCCATACATTGTATACACCTCCCCCCCCCCATACATTGTATACACCTCCCCCCCCCCCCATACATTGTATACACCCCCCCCCATACATTGTATACACCTCCCCCCCCCCCCATACATTGTATACACCTCCCCCCCCCCCCATACATTGTATACACCTCACCACTGATACATTGTATACACCTCCCCCCCCCATACATTGTATACACCTCCCCCCCCCCCCCATACATTGTATACACCTCCCACTGATACATTGTATACACCTCCCCCCCCCATACATTGTATACACCCTCCCCCCATACATTGTATACACCTCCCCCCCATACATTGTATACACCTCCCCCCCCCCCCCCCATACATTGTATACACCTCCCCCCCCATACATTGTATACACCTCCCCCCCCCATACATTGTATACACCTCCCCCCATACATTGTATACACCTCCCCCCCCCATACATTGTATACACCTCCCCCCCCCCATACATTGTATACACCTCACCCCCCATACATTGTATACACCTCACCCCCCATACATTGTATACACCTCCCCCCCCATACATTGTATACACCTCCCCCCCCATACATTGTATACACCTCCCCCCCCCATACATTGTATACACCTCCCCCCCCCCCCATACATTGTATACACCTCCCCCCCCCATACATTGTATACACCTCACCCCCCATACATTGTATACACCTCACCCCCCATACATTGTATACACCTCCCCCCCCCATACATTGTATACACCTCACCTCCCCCCCATACATTGTATACACCTCCCCCCCCATACATTGTATACACCTCCCCCCCATACATTGTATACACCTCCCCCCCCCATACATTGTATACACCTATTACACCCCCCCCCCATACATTGTATACACCTCCCCCCCATACATTGTATACACCTCCCCCCCCCCATACATTGTATACACCTCACCACTGATACATTGTATACACCTCCCCCCCATACATTGTATACACCTCCCCCCCATACATTGTATACACCTCCCCCCCCCCATACATTGTATACACCTCCCCCCCCCCATACATTGTATACACCTCACCCCCCCCCATACATTGTATACACCTCCCCCCCCCCCATACATTGTATACACCTCCCCCCCCCCATACATTGTATACACACCTCCCCACCCCCCCCCCATACATTGTATACACCCCCCCCCCATACATTGTATACACCCCCCCCCCCATACATTGTATACACCTCCCCCCCCCATACATTGTATACACCCCCCCCCCATACATTGTATACACCTCCCCCCCCCATACATTGTATACATTTCACCACTGATACATTGTATACACCCTCCCCCCCCCCATACATTGTATCACCGCGTACACCCGTCCACCCCGATCACTGCGTATGTATCACCGCGTACACCCTTCACCCGATCACCGCGTATGTATCACCGCGTACACCCGTCACCCCGATCACTGCGTATGTATCACCCGCGTACACCCGTCATGTATCACCCGATCACTGCGTATGTATCACCGCGTAGTACACCCGTCACCACCCCGATCACTGCGTATGTATCACCGCGTACACCCGTCACCCCCGATCACTGCGTATGTATCACCGCGTACACCCTTCACCCCGATCACTGCGTATATATATCACCGCGTACACCCTTCACCCCGATCACTGCGTATGTATCACCGCGTGCGTATGTACACCCTTCACCCCGATCACTGCGTATGTATCACCGCGTACACCCGTCACCCCGATCACTGCGTATGTATCACCGCGTACACCCGTCACCCCCCGATCACTGCGTATGTATCACCGCGTACACCCGTCACCCGTCCCCCCGATCACTGCGTATGTATCACCGCGTACACCCGTCACCCCCGATCACTGCGTATGTATCACCGCGTACACCCTTCACCCCCGATCACTGCGTATATATATCACCGCGTACACCCGTCACCCCCCGATCACTGCGTATGTATGTATCACCGCGTACACCCGTCACCCCGATCACTGCGTATGTATCACCGCGTACGCGTACACCCGTCATCCCCCCGATCACTGCATATGTATCACCGCGTACACCCGTCCCCCCCGATCACTGCGTATGTATCACCGCGTACACCCGTCACCCGATCACTGCGTATGTATCACCGCGTACACCCTCACACCCACCCCGATCACTGCGTATGTATCATACACCGCGTACACCCGTCACCCCCGATCACTGCGTATGTATCACCGCGTACACCCGTCACCCCCGATCACTGCGTATGTATCACCCGCGTACACCCGTCACCCCCCGATCACTGCGTATGTATCACGCGTACGTACACCCGTTCACACCCCGATCACTGCGTATGTATCACCGCGTACACCCGTCACCCCGATCACTGCGTATGTATCACCGCGTACACCCTTCACCCCCGATCACTGCGTATATATCACCGCGTACACCCTTCACCCCGATCACTGCGTATGTATCACCCGCGTACACCCGTCACCCCGATCACTGCGTATGTATCACCGCGTACACCCTTCACCCCGATCACTGCGTATATATCACCGCGTACACCCGTCACCCCGATCACTGCATATGTATCACCTCTCTGCGGCCTTCCACACAGTCCACCACCCCCTCCACAGTACACTCCCTCGGCCTCAGAGATTCTGCTCTCTCTCCTGGCTCTCATCCTACCTATCACAGCACTCCTTCAGCGTACCTATAATGCTACCACCTCCCCCTCCCCCTCTGTTAGGGATCCGGGTATGACCAGAAATGTGTGGACTGACACAGGGAAGTAGCCGGCTTCAAGAACACAGGCGTAGTCAGGCTGGAGAGGTGAAATGGTCAGGCAGGCAGTAAGGTACTGTCAGGTGCCGCCTGGCAGTGTCTCTAGCAGCCCACAGCACGGATTTCCTCAGGGCGCGGGGTCTAAGTCCCAGCCTGCTATTCACCAGGGCCCCTGATGGTGGGGATGGATTTGGTGCAGACTGGAACCAGGTCGCGACCCCTGAGTGCGTCCGGCTGTGGTAGAGAGTACTGGCAGGGGAGTGCAGGAACGGAGTCTGATGGGAAGAGGCAGGCAGACTTACTAAAGGTGATCCGTGCGGGATGGATGGATCGTCGGGTGAAGTAAGCGTAGTCAGACAGGCCGTGTCGGTATCGTGCGGGCAGCGTGGTACAGGAGGAGCAAGCAGAGAATGGTCGGGGTCACAAGCAGGTTCAGCAGGTAGCGGGCAGCGCGGTACCGAGGATCAGGCAGAAGGATGGTCAGGCAAGCCAGGGGTTCAACAGGAGACGGTCAGCAGAGGTCAGGATCAAAGCAGGGTCAGCAACAAATCAGATCGTCAGCAGAACAGGAACACAGGATACAGGGGCTCATGGGAAACATACACCAAGGCCCTGATCACAGGCCTGGTCATTTCTTATATGCACCTCCTGCAATCAGCCTCAGGTGTTGGCTGATTGCAGGAATGAGTCTCTGGTTGCTGAGAGCACCCGCTGGCCATCCCTGGTACTGCAACCCACAAGGCAGGTGAGTCCCACCACTATTGGCTAGTCCATTCCTGACACCCTCTCTGCTGGGGTCCCTCAAGGTTCTGTCCTCGGGTCCCTTCTCTTCTCCATCTACACCTCCTCCCTTGGCCAACTCATACACTCTCACGGCTTCAACTACCACCTCTATGCCGACGACACACAAATCTATCTCTCAACCCCCCACCTCACCCCCTCGGTCTCTGCCCCCCACCTCACCCCCTCGGTCTCCGCCCGAATCACACACCTACTGAGCGACATATGAGACTGGATGTCACTCCACTTCCTTAAACTGAACCTCTCCAAAACCGAGCTCCTCGTCTTCCCCCCCAGCCCGGACACCACCCCCCACTGGACTTCTCCATCATGTCCAACAACGCTACCATCAAACCCGCCCTGCAGGCCAGAATACTTTGTGTCATTCTGGACTCCAACCTATCCTTCCAGCCCCAAGTCCAATCTTTAACAAACTCATGCAGACTCCGCCTCCGCAACATGCAGACTCCGCCTCCGCAACATGCAGACTCCGCCTCCGCAACATGCAGACTCCACCTCCGCAACATCGCCAAAATCCGCACGTTCCTAACCCCAGAAACCACTAAACAGCTCATCCACTCCCTCATCATATCACGACTCGACTACTGCAACTCCCTCCTCATGGCCTGCCTCACCGCTGGCTATCCCCGCTTCAGTCCATCCTGAATACGGCTGCCAGACTCATTCACCTTTCCAACCGCTCATTCACCTTTCCAACCGCCAATCCCTCCACTGCCTCCATTCAGTGTCCTCCACCCCCCTCTGCCAATCCCTCCACTGGCCTCCACTCAGTGTCCTCCCCCCCCTCTGCCAATCCCTCCACTGGCCTCCACTCAGTGTCCTCCACCCCCTCTCTGCCAATCCCTCCACTGGCCTCCACTCAGTGTCCTCCACCCCTCTCTGCCAATCCCTCCACTGGCCTCCACTCAGTGTCCTCCACCCCCCTCTGCCAATCCCTCCACTGGCTTCCGATTGCGCAACGGATCAAATTCAAAATCCTAACACTGACGTACAAAGCCATCCACCATACTGCCCCGAACTACATCACGACCTAATATCCAAGTACCGCCCAACACGCACACTCCGCTCCTCACAAGACCTCCTTCTCTCTATTTCCCTGGTCTCCTCCTCCCATGCCCGCCTCCAGGACTTCTCCAGGGTGTCACCCATCCTCTGGAACTCCCTTCCCCAACCCATCAGATTATCACCTACTCTCCTCTCCTTTAGGCGCACCCTGAAAACCCATCTCTTCAGGGAAG